TCCTGTATTATTGCATTCAAGGCTATTTATAATTTAGCCTCAAATGATTTTTTTGGGCTTCTTCCACTTCCCCCTCCTTCCCTTTATCACATTTCACATTGTATGAAGTACTGCACACTTTTCAACTGCACCAAAATATCAAGTTTTAGTTCAAAGTATTTTGCACATAGTAGGTATTCAATCAAATCTGTTAAACCTCTCTGTAGTCATATTGTCACTCCATCGACCTTGAAACAACATCGAGGGCACTATCATGGTTTTTCTCCTGCTGCTTTGACTATTTCTTCTTTTTTTTTTTCCTTTTTTAAAAATTTATTTATTTATTTATACAAGCACTGGGTACAGTCAGAAGCGCAGGAGGGTGAGAGAATTCACCAGAGCCAGAGGGGAGAGCGGGCGGCAGGAGAGGTCTGCGCGCCATGTGGGACCCTCCTCAGGTGGCCGGGGAGCAGCCGGGGATTGAACCGGTGTGTCAGGGGCTGCAGGCAGCTTCGCAACCCAGCGCTCAACCACTGTGCCACCAGGGAGGCCCTGACTATTTCTTCTTTACTGGCTACTTCTTCCATATTCATTCCACAAACACTTAATGAGCCCCTGCCTATGTCAGGTATGGTGACAGGCACTAGTGATCCAGTGAACAATTAGACTAGGTCCCTTAATCCTAAAGCTTATCTCTAACTTATTTTACCTCTCTCCCTGTAGTACTGGCTTCCCTTGAGTTTGTCTCCTATTTCTAGCTACACTTTGAAAATTTCTATTCCCATATATATTGCTCACCATGTCTGAATTCATTGTTCCTCCTCCTTACATCAGGCCTCCACACCCAGTTTCAATCTCTTGCATTGGCCTTTCAACATGCATTCCTATTGGTATCACTCAACTTATGTTACAATCTGCTGGCCTGTAGTTTTCTGACTACTATTCCTGTCTTTAGTCTCTGCAATTTGCCATTTATCTTATGCCTTGCTGTCCAAATTATTATATTACAGCTTTTGAGGGGTTGAACGGGGGAGAGTGAGGATCAGGAAAAACTGAGGCCTAGTTTTCATAGGGTATTCAAAACGCTTTACCCAGCAAGTTTCAGTGATTCCTCACAAATCACTTGACTTAGTGTTCGAGGGTCTAATCTATTCCATTCCTGTCTTACCCTGACCTGTGCTTATTTTCAGAAGACATTGAACCCATTTCTAGGCCTCCTCTACCTGTTCTGGACCCTTGGTTCAACTATCTCTTCGTAGCCTTTTAATATACCATTGTTTTGTTCTTTACCTTCTAATAATGTCTTCTCTGTCCACTGTGGGCTTTTTGCAACCCAAAGTATATTGAAGTTTAATATGTTATAAGCATAATTCTGCTTTATATTCATACTCTCGTGTCCCCCCGCCCCCCAGAGTTTTATGTGTATTTCTAACACCTCCATTTTATACAGAGGTTAAACAATTTGCTGAAACCACAAGTGGCAGAACTCAAATTTGAACTCAGATTTTTTGGGTTCCTTTCAGTCACTGCTTGCCTGACCTGATGGTGGGTGTAAAGGACATGATAGAACTCAGTCTTACCTTGGAGGGCTCTCAGAACCAGATCTGTACCTCAAAGAGATACATGCCCTGCAGAGAATAAGCCTCAACAAATATTTACCGTGGATAATACTCTCCCTCCCACAGGAATTTCTTTGCTGTTAGTGATCTCCCATAGTGCCTGGGGTTTGAACTACACACTTTGGCACCTAATCTTTGATTGTCTTGTACTGTTGTTTTAGTGTGTTTTTGCCTAATAGGGATTTTTTTTTTTCTCATCAGGTTCAACCCAGTTCCAATGCTACAGTGTACTTCAGGGTGCTAGGCTTTCCCAGCAAGGTTTTCCTAACCTGCTGGTAATCACCGGGACTAAGCAGCCCTTGAAACATATTAAAAAGCCAATCTTCTGATAAGACTTGGGGTAAGACCCCAATGTGATGAGCCTATATTCCTATCTGAGGACTGCCCCGTTTGGACAGAATTATTTCCTGGTATTTCTTTATAAACATTGCTCACAGCTGATGAATTAGAAGTTGGGCTTCTTTTGTTTCTGGATATGCCACTTGGCAGGTGTTAATAACATCTTGACAGGCCGCTTACCACAGGTGCATGTTTGACACGTGCGTCCTGGTGGTGGCATCCTGCCCCGCCGCGCCCCCACCCCCCCAGTCCCACCACCCTAAGACACCTCTGTTCCACCCTGTGGCCGTTGGCCTCTTCCCAGCCCTTAACCCTCCCCTTGCCCTTTCCCCTTCCCCCAACCTCAGCCTCTCCAACCAGGGCCAGGGCAGCGCTTCCCTCCTCCACCCCCTGGGCCCCTCCCACCTCCCACCATTTTTTTGTTCTGGGTTAAGAGTTTTCCTTGTGTGATTGGGGTGGGCTGGTTAGAAGGGAGGACACACTGCCATTCACCGGAGTCCTACTGAAATGGCACACTTTCTCTATCTGAAAAATACCGGGCTTCTACCAGAGAAATGAGCAGAGGCCTCTCTGGAAATTAGCTGGAGGGGGCCACTCAGGTAATCCGGGAGAGCCCTGGTCTCTGCAAATATCCCAAAGCAGGCCCACCCTACCATGTTCCTTTGTTGGGACAGGGAATGGAATCTTATCAATAGGTGAAAGAGCTTGAGAATACCACCGATAGGCCCACCCTTCTCTTTAAACACCTAACACTAAAAGGAGAGGAAGGAAAAAAAAGCACCAACAAGAGTTTAAGATAGCAATTCCCAGCTTTTTCAAATATGAAGCATTTTTTAACCAATCCATTTTTTAATTTTTAAATTCTTGACATTACAGAACTAAACTGAAATTTATTAACATTCCACTCTTACATTTCTTATTGACAAACAAATAAAATTCATAAGCCAAAACCCAAAATAAAACTAAAAACAGGGAAAAGCTTATAAAACTAAATATGGATAACAGCATTAACAGCTGAACAGAGAATGTGATTTTTAAATTCTTAGCAGATGATAAAGTGTAGAAACTCAACACTTACAAATTATTTAAAACCTGGAATCACTGACCAGAAATTACACAGTTGGATCATGGGAAAACAGCAGAAACGGGTTATGAGTGAACCTACACTGTTCTAGCTGCACCCCATGCCCTTCTCAGAGGAAAGCCTGGCATTGATTAGATACTGGGCCAGACTAATACTGGCAGCAGAACCAGTGATAGTAACCTGCCTACCAGAAGAGCCTTCAACTGGATTGGCAATTTTGATCTGGGCCCCAGACATCTGGCGGATCTCATTAATGTTGGCGCCTTGGCGCCCGATTATGCAGCCAATTAAGTTATTTGGAATGGTGAGTTCATGGGTGGTTTGAGTAGATGCATCCAAACTTGCCCAATAGCCTTTCACCTCTGGAGAGCTGGAGTCAATTCCGGCGAATCCGGTCCCGCCGTGCATCATGGCAAAGTGAGACTGTTGTCTTGCCACCTGGTTCAGCTTGGCCAGATCGAGCGGAGAAATGGTGTGTTGTCCTTGAATCGAGTAGGCATCTAGAGGTGGTCCCTCCAGGTCATGGGTCGCGTGGGGGTAGCCCGCAGCGTCGCTGCAGCGATCTTGGCCGCCCGCGCAGATCACTGGAGAGCTGGCCGGCATGGGCTGGTACGGAATGGTCATGACTCTCCCTTGCGGAGACTGGGAGAGCGTCTCCAGCATGACCAGGCAGATCTGCTTGACACACTCGGTGACGGACTGCGGCACGCCAGCAATGGTGATGGCCCGCTCGGTGGAGTTGGGCAGCATATCCCCCGCCACCTGGACCTGGGCCCCCGTACTCTCACGGATCTCTTTGATCTTACACCCGCCTTTCCCAATCAGCGAGCCGCACTGGGTGGCCGGCACCACCAGCCTCAGGGTGACCGGGGGCCTGCTGGCCGCCGTGCTGTTGGTCATGGAGCTGTTGATATCTTCTTCCAGCTTGTCGATAATCATAGCGAAGGCCTTAAAGATGGCATTGGTGGGGCCGGTCAGAGTGATGATTCTCTCCGGACAATTCCCCTCCGAGATGTTGATCCGCGCGCCACTCTCCTCGCGGATCCTCTTAACCGACTCCCCTTTCTTTCCAATGATGCTTCCTACTTCCTTTCCGTGCATAAGCAGCCGAATGGTGAGAGTCACATTTAGTCCACTTTCAGTCACACCGGCATCCATGGCGAGCGGCGGGCGGCGTTCGGGGGAGTTGGGCTCGTTACGTGGTCAAGTCTTTGGTGGCTGGCGGGGGGAGGGGAGGTGTAGGCCCAAAACTGCCGGCGCGAGGCGAGCGAGGGCCGCGGGAGCGAGCAGGCGCGGGCGGGAGGCCGCGGCGTCGTCGCTGGAGCGGGCGGCGGCGGCGGAGGGGGCGAGCGGGGCCGGGAGCGGCGGGCGGGCGGGTGGGCGAGGGCGCGGCGGTGGCGACTCCGGCGGCAGCCTCGGCGGTCTGGGCGGGGCGGGAAGCCCGCTTTCAACCCCGCGTACCCTCTGACCCCGGAAGTGCTTGCCTCGCAGGACCCCTTGAAAAAAAGTGAGGACCCATCATTTTTAGGTCACAAGATTGCGCCAACCTCCACATGGTATTTAAATTAAAACCTTTTATTAGCCTGACATTGAAAGGAAAGCCCCCGATGGGCAGGGGGTGTGAGTCCGGCAAAGTTTTAAAATGAACATGTGTTTTGTAAACCTTAGCGCCACCGGCAGGTATCTGTTAATATCAGTGTTGTGTAAGAGAGCGACACATTATTTTCCGGCCCCGCATAAAGGGACCTGGTGCGGAGCGACGCGGGCAGCCCCGGCGGTAACTGCAGGCGGCAGCTGGGAAGCCGCGGGTTTAAAACATGCGCGTGAGGCGGCCAGAGCGCCTGCGCAACGATGGGGGAGACGGGAGGGGCAGCCGCCGTCTTCCGGGGGGAGGGGCGGCGAGGCGAGGCTGTCGGAACGGGCGCGCGCGCGCGCTCGGGAGGGCACGTGGACCTCCTTCGTCCCTGGCGTCCCGGCGCTCTGCGCCACCCCCCACCTCGGCCCCAGCCCGCGGCGGCGGCCAGTGAGGAGAAAAACCGAAATCCACCCTCCGCCGCTGCCGGAGTCATGGCTGTGCTAGTTGTTTGGGGGAAGCGCTGGGAACTTGGGCATACAAAGAATGGCGTCCGTTTACATAATGCTTTGTTTGCATCGCCAGTTTCTTTCGGTTAAACCCGCAGAAACCACACCTCCTAATGTGTAGCTTTAGCCACGACAACCTTATCAGATATTTAAGACAATGGGGGTCGCATTTATTCAGTGGGTGCCGAACAGCGCTTTCGGAGTTCCTGCGGTTTTCCCCGGTTTACGCCCCAGCTGCTGCCCCTCGGCCCTTTCCCTCTTGGTGCGGTTGCCGCGCCCTGCGCCCTCCGGGGGCGGCCCCCAAACGGCCCCGCCATCTTGGAGGGCTTTTCCTGCCGGGTGTCTTTACCGCACCTTCCTCTCGTTAAGGAAAGGACGCTTAGAACGCTGGTGGAGCAGTTGTGACTTCTGCCCCTTCCCCGTTCCTTGGGTTAAGCCGGGCAGAGAAGGCCGTGCTCGAAACGTGCTCGGGGTCCGTCAGGGAAGGCAGCTAACGTGGCGGCTCTCCGCCCCCCTCCTCACGGGGGTGGCCGCCATGTTCCCGAACACAAAATGGCGACACGTGGCCTGGATTCGTCGCCAGCGAGAAATTGGGGTCGGCCCGAAAGCTCTAGAATGCGCCCCTTTCCGTCCCCGCCCCCCAGCTCATTCCCTGCCACTCGGGGATAAAAAACCCCGCAGGCTTGTTCAAACCTCGGCGGACGAACTTTAATGGTTTTCCTCATTTAATTTGAAACGGAACGCGAATGGTGTAAAATGGCATGAAGCCGAGTCTCGCGCTCTTTTAAATTTAAATAATGGATAATGGGAGGGGGCAGTGCCAGTGAGTAATTAGGGTCCTCAGTACAAAGCATTTAGGGATCACTGCTTTAAGGGATGAGGTGGGAAATTGCTTTTTTCCTAAACCTTCCTAGCACGGGTGGTTGTGGTGGAGAAACCAAGAAGTGGTTATAGAGCGCTTTTAAAAAAATGCCATTTCCAGGAAAGGACCGGGATGCCTGTGACCTTTTTCACGGACCACCTTGCCCTGAGTTTACGACATTTGGTGTTCACTTTTAGTTTAAAGGGACATTTATTCTGCATTTATCAGCCCCAGGTCCTGTGTTAAGCATTTTACCGCATACTAGCTTTAATTTTTACAATGCTCCTCTGAAGTAGGTGGTATTACCGTGCGCTCTCTCTCTCTCTCTCTCTCTCTCTCTCTCTCTCTTTCTCTCTCTCTCTCTTTCTTAACAGATGAAAGCATTTAGGCCCAGAGAGATGAAGTGACTAATTCAGGGTCACACAGTGTGGAGGATGGAATTCCAGACCTTCCGATTTCCTTATTGGTGAGCTCATTTCCAAATTTTTCTGTAGATAGCGTTTTAGAATTTTAAATGCTATTTAAGGGTTTAGGTGAACTTGCTATTTAAAGGAGCCCCTCAGGTAACCTTTTTGGTGCGTATTTGTATTTGGGGTTTCCCAGTTTTTCCTGGTCTGAGCCATACCTGTAAGAGGCACATGCTATTTATGAAGTGTCTGCGTGAGGAAAGGGAGAAGGAAGTGATTCAGCCGTGCCTGAAGGCTCCAGTATCTGTGGCACATTTGAGTCTACCTGGCTCCTTGGGAGCAAACAATTTCTCGGTATGACTCACTTGCTTCCTTCAGCTATCGTGGGCATCGCTTCCGTCTTCACCACCCCAGCCCCCCAACCAGGTAAAAATGAACAATTTTACTTTGGTGCCAAATCTCCATTTCTCTGCAAATATTGACAGCGCATGACAGTATTAGATAAATCATAGTCTGTGGACACAAGTTACCTATAACAGGTTACTTGTGGGCCAAGCAACAAATAATTGCCTAAACAGAACTTTACTTGTATGAGGGTCAGAGATAGAGAACAGGGCTTCATGCTTCCTTATATTTATATTAATGTTATAATGTTAGATTTTTCAAAGTGCTTTCACATTATATACTCCTAGGAGTAGGAGTTTATATACTCCTACAAACAACTTTAATAGGTTAGGTACATAATATCAACAATGACAATAATAGCAGTAAGTGCTTAGTATGTACCAGACACTGTTAGAAGTTTCATTCTCTGGGTTAATTCAGTGATTCTCACATTTTAAAAGGCAAACTACCATAAGAAATAAAATTTACATGCTAATCCATACATATACACACACAACTTTGTGTAAGGATTAGTACAGTTTTGTACTTATCCTTACACATCAATGTGTTCTGGTAATTTCTGTTTTCTTTTTTACATTAAAAAAAAGGCACATCAAAACTGAAGTGATAAGAACCCCGTTATTGTGTTGTGACCAATATGATCAATTACACATGTAATCCTCACAAAGCCACCTGAGATGGGGGTGATGTTATTTCTATTTTACAAAGGTATAGAGGGGTGAAGGAGTCTATCCCAGTTATTTAGTGGTAAAACAAGGATTTAAATCGAGGCGATTTTGAATTGAGAGACTATTTTACCACCATTTAACTGCTGAGCTAGAGGTAGTCTCTGTAGAGGTCCTTGCCTTATAGGGAGACAGTTGATTAGGAAACTAACAATATTAGTAAATGTTAGAAAGGATACAACAAAAGGACTAAGTTATGTGTAATCAAGAATTATCCAGGGCCTCCCTGTGGCGCAAGAGTTAGAAGTCTCAGTGCTATCAAGCTATTGCCAGCCATTATAGCGTGAGTTCGAACCCCAGCTAGGGAGCTGACCCACATGGCATAGCAGACCTCTCCTCTCTTACCTGCTGATCCCCTCAGCAGTGCATTTCAGTAAGTCTGCCTGTTCTGTACCCCGCTCTGTCTCTGGTGAATCCTCTCATCCTCCCACACATCTGGCCTGTACCCCAGTTCTTATATGCATGAATAAATAAATCTTTGGGGGAAAAATGAGAGATTAAATGATCTCCAAAGACCCTTATAAATTTGTCCAGGGAATGATGATATCCGATTATCTTGATTATTTGACCCAGGGGAGGAGGGTTATGTAAATATTTTACTCACTTTTGGCAAATTCCCCATTCCCTTCCTCAGGACTGCACTATCTTGTGGATACGTGAGCGAACTCCACACCACCCATTTTACAGATGAAGTAACTGAGATGTGGAGCAACTGACTAAATACTCACTGCCCCACCCCTGGAGCCTCACACATGACTCTTCACCTCCTACTCAAGTGATCTAAGGTTGGCTAAGGGGTTTAATGAGGTTGGGAAGATGAGTCAGGCTTAGACTTTGGAAATTGGACCACAAGATTTCTACTTTATTCAATAGAGGAAGAATTTTTGTTTCCTCTTACTTCATGTTAGCATGCTATATAAAACCTTTCAAAGTGATTTAAATTATTTATTTAATCACAAACAACTTTGCCAGGAAGATGATATTATGCCCATTTTATGAAAGAACCATCTTTGCATCAGATGAATGGGGTAACTTGCCCACTGTTATACAGCTTGTTAGGGCCTGTGGTTGGCCTCTTGATTCCTACTTCTGGGTTATTCCTTTCCTTGATTTCTGATGTCTGTGGCACTGACTTTGACACATGGAATAACTTTATCTTAAACTCAAAAACTGGGCCCCCCCTGGTGATGCAGGGAGTTAAGACGCAACCTATGAAGCTGTCCACAGCCACTGCTGCACAATTGCAATCCCCGGCTAGGGAGCTACCCACATGGAACAGCAGACCTCTCCTGCCTCACCCACTGCTCCCCTCAGCAGTGTATTTCAGTCAGTTCTGCCTGTTCTGTTCCCCACTTCGTCTCTGGTGAATCCTCTCACCCCCCACACCTCTGGCCTGTACCCTGGTTCTTGTATGCATAAAAAATAAATCTTAAAAAAAAAGAATTAGGGCCTCCCCTGGTGGCACAGCGGTTGAGCGCTGGCCTGCGAAGCTGCCTGCAGCCTCTGCAGTGCCGGTTCGATTCCCGGCCGCCAGCGAGGGTCCCACATGGCATGCAGACCTCTCCCGCCTCCCGCTGCTCCCCTCAGCAGTGTATTTTGTCAAGTCTGCCTGTTCTATTCCCCGCTCTGGCTCTGGTGAATTCTCTCACCCTCCCGCGCTTCTGATTGTACCCAGTGCCTTGTATAAATAAATAAATAAATCTTTAAAAAAAAAAAAACCTCAAAAACCTCTCAATATAGTTTTTTTTTTAGAAGATTTATTTATTTATGCATACAAGAACCAGGGTACAGGCCAGAGGTGTTGGGGTGTGTGTGAGAGGATTCACCAGAGACAGAGTGGGGAACAGAACAGGCAGATTGACTGAAATACACTGTTGAGGGGAGCAACAGGTGAGGCAGGAGAGGTCTGCTGAGCAGTGTGGGTCACCTCCCTGGCCTCAGATCAAACTTGTGCTGCAGTGGCTGTGGGTAGCTTCATAGTGCTGCGTCTTAACCCCTTGTGCCACCAGGGAGGCCCTATAGTTGTGTTTTTTTTTTTTTTTTTTTAAGATTTATTTATTTATACAAGAGCTGGGGTAGAGGCCAGATTTGTGGGAGGGTGAGAGGATTCACCAGAGACATAGCGGGGAACAGAACAGGCAGATGATCGAAAGCACTGCTGAGGGGAGCAGCAGGCGAGACAGGAGAGGTCTGCCGCACCATGTGGGACTCTTGCTGGCCTGCCGGGATCGAACTGGTGCTGCAGAGGCTGTGGACAGCTTCACAGCCCTGCGCTTAACTGCCTGTGCCACCAGGGGAGGCCCTGTTTTTTTGGTTTTTAATGTATACAAAAGCTGGGGTGCAGGGCAGAGGTGAAGGGAGGGGGTGACTGGATTCACCAGAGACAGAGTGGGGAGCAGAACAGAAGGACTGACTGAAATACACTGCTCACGGGAGCAGCGGGCGAGACAGGAAAGATCTGTGTCATGTGGGTTAGCTCCTTGGCTGGGGATCAAACTCATGCTGCAGTGACTGCCAATAGCTTCATAGTGCTGAGACTTAACCCTTTGCGCCACCAGGGAGGCCCTATAGTTGTGTTTTTTTTTTAAAATTTATTTATTTATACAAGAGCTGGGGTACAGGCCAGATTCGCGGGAGGGTGAGAGAATTCACCAGAGACAGAGCGGGGACCTCTGCAGTCATTGCAGCACAAGTTTGATCCCTGAACAGGGAGCTGTCCACATGGCGCAGTAGACCTCCCCTGGCTCGCCGGCTGCTCCCCTCAGCAGTGTATTTCAGTCAATCTGCCTGTTCTGTTCCCCACTCTGTCTCTAGTGAATCCTTTCGCCCCCCCCACACCTCTGGCCTGTATCCCAGTTCTTGCATGCATAAATAAATCTTTAAAAATAAAACCAGGGCCTCCCCTGGTGGCACAGGCGGTTGAGTGCTGCGCTGTGACGCTGTCCGTAGTCTCTGCAGCGCCGGTTTGATCCCGGCCAGCCAGGGAGGGTCCCACATGGCGTGGCAGACCTCTCCTGTCTCACCAGCTGCTCTCCTCAGCAATATATTTTGTCAGTCTGCCTGTTCTGTTCCCCACTCTGTCTCTGGTGAATCCTCTCACCCTCCCATGAATCTGGCCTGTACCCCTGTTCTTGTATAAATGAATAAATAAATCTTTAAAAAAATTATAAATGAACTCCTCTCCTTGCCTCTCTGAACTCCTCTCATAAGACTTATGAACTGGAGAGGGAGACAGAGAAGTAAACAGATTGATGTGTTAAGAGTTAGGATGTGAGTAAAAGGTGGTGCTATGGACTCAGAGAAAGCCCTTGGTTCAGCTTTAGAGGGGATCCTGGAAGCTGACATTTAGGCTGAGTCCCAAGTTAGCAAATTGCCAGGTGGAAGCAGGGAAGGATATTCCACGTAGGGAAGGATATTCCAAGCAGGAAAAAGGGACCAAAGGCAGAGAACATAGTCCATTTAGGGATTGTAGGCATTTTAGGAAGGTATGAAAGATGTTTGCATGATTCAATTTTTTGTGAATTTTACTGCTTTGCATGTGTGGATTGAGACTTAACCGTGCTTACTAGAGCACAGAATGTTAAAGTCCTTATTTTGTAGCTGTAATTCTCTCTTAAGATGAAGACACCAGAAATTACACTTATATCTAAAGATTATAAGAACAAGGGCTTCCCTGATGGCTTAAGGGGTTGAGCACCGCACTATGAAGCAATCCGCAGCCTCTGCAGCATGCCAGGGAGCAACCCACATGGTGTAGCAGACCTCTCCTGTCTCGCCCGCTGCTCTCCTCAGCAGTGTGTTTCAGTCAGTCTGCCTGTTCTGTTCCCCACTCTGTCTCTGGTGAATCCTCTCACCCCACCGCATCTCTGGCTCTTGTATGCATAAATAAATAAATCTTTAAAAAGAAAAGATATTAAAGAGTAATAAAAAAAAGATGATAAGGGGCCTCCCCTGGTGGCGCAGCGGTTGAGCTCTGGGCTGCGAAGCTGCCCGCAGCCTCTGCAGTGCCGATTCGATCCCTGGCCACCGGCGAGGGTCCCACAAGGCGCGACAAACCTCTCCTGTCTTGCCCGCTGCTCCCCTCAGCAGTGTGTTTTGTCGGTCTGACTGTTCTGTTCCCCGCTCTGGTGAATTCTCTCACCCTCCCGCGCTTCTGACTGTGCCCCGTGCTTGTATAAATAAATAAATAAATAAATAAATAAATAAATAAATAAATCTTTAAAAGAAAAAAAAAGATGATAAGAACAAAATGCAAATAAAGCACACCCTTACTATTAATAAATCATTGTTAACCCTCTGTGCAGTAAATGAAAAAAGGTACACATCATATCCCTTTCCTATCCAACTTTTAAGTTTGAGTTCTCCATTGTTTTTAAAGGAAACATGAAAATTTAGGGCTTTTGTAACTGGGTAGACTGTTTGAGTTAAGCAGGAGAGGAAGGAGTAGGAGAATAATTATTACTCCATGGTAGAACAGAGAAATACATTTAAATAGTTAATTTTTGTGATCCCACCTGCTGAGTACAAGCAAGACTTAGGACTCTGTAAAAGAGACATTTACTGCAGCCAGACAAAGCATTTGTTCCACATTATTCACTTTATAAAATCTGTTGTATCTAGATTAAGAGCATTGATTTTTGTTTTTTGTTTTTGTAAGACAGGGATGTAACTGCATTAAGCAGAAACCTGATGTGTATTCATTGGACAATACTGGGATTTTACTTGAATTAAAAGAAAAAAAGTCATATGTGGAGTAGGGATGAACAAGCTTAGAAAATAGCACATAGGTTATTTCTCATTCACCTTTTTTGACCTCTCAGTAGAGTTTCACACTCCCTCCACACTAGTTTCAACTTAATTCCAGGACACCACTTCCTTGGTTCTTTTTATACCTCACTGCCCCCTTCGGCTCAGTCCTCTTTTTTTCAAAACCCCTTTAGGTCGATTCCTCCTCTTTTCAGCTTCCAATGATGGAAGCTAGACGAGTTTGTGGATCCCTTCTGTGTCAGGTCTCTTTTCCTAGGTGCTCTCTTTCAAGACTTTAAAATACCACTTATGCCCTGACAATGCCAAGTATATATTACTTGATTCACTTTCTTTTCCTGAACCCAAGACTCTCATATCCAACCGCCTACCAGATTCCTCCACTTGGGTATATGGTAATTTCCTTTTTTTTTTTTTTTTTTGAAAGATTTATTTATTTATTTATTTATTTATTTATTTATTTATTTATTTATTTATACATACATACATACATACAAGCACTGGGTACAGTCAGAAGTGCGGGAGGGTGAGAGAATTCACCAGAGCCAGAGCGGGGAGCAGAGCAGGCAGAAGGACCGAAGCACACTGCTGAGGGGAGCAGCGGGCGGCAGGAGAGGTCGCTGCAGAGGGTGTGGGCAGCTTCGCAACCCGGCGCTCAACCGCTGCACCACCCGGGAGGCCCTATGGTAGTTTCTTAGCATATTCAAACAATTCTGGAATTTCTCCTCTCAAACCTTCAACTCCGGCAATTCTTCCCTATTTCAGTCTTAGTTGTATTGAATATTTATCTATCTATATTTATTTATTTAATTTATACAAAATAAAATATTTTTTATTTTGGGCACAGTCAGAAGCGTGGGAGGGTGAGAGAATTCACCAGAGCCAGAGCGGGGAGCAGAATAGGCAGAAGGACCAAAGTACACTGCTGAGGGCAGCAGCGGGCGCGGCAGGAGAGGTGTGTGTGCCATGTGGGACCCTCACCAGTGGCTGGGGATCGAACTGGTGCTGCAGAGGTTGTGGG